TATTAGTCCATGCTTCAGGAAGCCATTCACCACTCAAGAGGTTTCCAGGTTTACCTGGAAAGCCCACAGTGTTATACTTGTAATAAGGAGGCTGCAGTCAGTGCTGGGAGCATCCCTTTGCAAGACTCAAAACACAGGCAGTGGCTGTGCCACTTGCAGGCAGGTTTGCCGCTGTCCTAGGTACAACGCTCAGGCTCCACAGACATATTTGGGTTCTGGTTTTTTTACAGGGTCCTTTCCAAAAAGTCTTTAGGCAACTTGATGATTAGTAAATCTTCTTCCACTAAGAGCCATTAGGGTGGAAGGGTGGCCAGAACAGCTACAAAAGAATAAAAAAAAAATTCATCCATGGTTCATTAAATTGGCATTACTGCTCATCTGGAACATAGGGGCTGCTCCTCTAGACCACAAAGAGAAAACTCCTAATTTTAGGCACCAAAAGGCTTTCCATGGTTTCCTGCTGGAATAACTACAGCCACTGAGCAGTAAATTCGCTTCCAGGAGAAAACACTCAAGAGTCCACAGGGATTCACAACTGTATGGAGAAATGAGTGCCTCAAAAATTTACAGGTTTTTAGAAAAATAAATGTTTGTTTTGCTTCTCTCTTGGAAAGATAAAAATAAAAAAATGAAACATTCAGGCAAACAATTCTAATAATATTTACATAGAACATAGGTGTATATTTACTCCATAGTGTGTTAGCTAAAGAACAAACCATTTGCAGCCTTCTCCCCACAACAAAAAAACCCCAAACAAACAGAAACAACCCAGAAACACTCCCAAGTGCAAGTACCAAAAAGTCCTGCTAAAAGTCTCCTGAGCTAGTACAGCCCCAGACCAAGAAGGATAAAATAAAATCACCCTACTGCTAACCCTTTAGCACTGGGGGCTTTGCTCCTCCCTGAAGCCACCTGTGGATGACTCCCATCAGAGCCAACTGCTGCAGCTCACCTAATCACAAAGCTGGGCTTGTTTCCTCTTTATTTGGAAACCAGCTTTGCCACTGGCTTGATTGGGCCCACGTGGAGCATTGTGCTGCTGTTACTTACGCTATGGTTTTAAAGGCAGTCACAGTGACTGACCTGTGAATGATGTTTACTGTGTCCCCTAGTCTGCCAAAGTTTCCATGCATGTCCTTGATCCTGAGAACAGAAGTGATAGGCAGAAGTGCCCAAGAAAGAAAAGCTGAGACATTTTCTTCTTCTTTCAAATTTTTTTTTTTGCTTGTTTTAAAATAAAGGTTTTGCTTAAGCCAAAGTAAAATCTGAATTTTTGGCCTGTCCACTCCCTGTGTACAGCAGCAAATCTGGCCCTCTTGTGCACCACTGGGCTCAGGACATGTAGCTAGCTGCAATGGAACACAAGTTTCAGGACAACTTGTTTATCTTCTGCCTTCCCCAAAAACTATTACTGATGTTTTTTAGAGTCTCTTGAAGTATTTAAGAGATTGAAGTCATTGACCATGATTTCTGACAGGCAATAGTCTCTCTCTGCAAAGTTTTGTACTGCTGAATTAGATCAAATGCTGATGCCTTTGGGGGCAATGAAAATAATTCCAGCTTATGACAGAAAATGAATTATAATTCAGAATAATTCTTGGTAGAAATAATATACTGTTTAATTACAGCCATAACAGCTATTTGATTTTGAGACAAGAAATGGTTGCCATAGTGACCCAATTCTTAAAGAAAATTTTTGCCTAACACTGTATAAAACACTGTATGATATAAAACACCTACCTTTACAAGAAAGCAATTAATGAAGATGAGTTTTCCTAGTGTTGGGTGTGGGGTATGAACAAGCAACATAGCCTATATATGGAAAAACATTCCCCATTTGGTTACTGCCTGAAAAGCCCTGTATTCACATTTCTCTGCAAGCACACTCATATGTCTCAGATTCAGAGCAAGATACAAATCTTGCTCAGCTTTCAAGACCGTGTAGACTCTGCAGAGGAATTTCAAACCTCTGTGGAGAATTAGAAAAAAAAGTGACAGAAGGAAATCAGAAACATATTTGTTCTGCAGAGCAAGCCACCCCCTACTGCCCACCATCAGGGAGGGTAAAAAATGATTTTACTTTAAACAGTCTTCGGGGAAACATACTCTGAAATCACAACCATTGCTAGAGTCAAGCAAAGGCACATTTTGACACATGGAGTGAAATGCAATCCTCAGTGAGACTGGTACAAATTATCATTTATCATGACTATCACCTTTTTGAGGCTTCTTTTGATAATCCTTGACTATTTCGCCACATCCCTGTGGCAGATTTAGAGAGACTGGTCTGCAGGATTGCTCTAGGGATTGCAGACCTGTCCCTGTGGCAAGCTCTATGGGAAGCTGGGTGTCTGGCTGCCCCCCCCCACCCCCCCCCCATCAATAACATGACCCTGGCAGCCTGTGAGGACAATGCAGCCCTTTTTTTGCTTGGGTTTCCCAGTAGCAAAACCAACTTGCCCATGGGCAGGACCCCTGTGGGCAACCATGGCCAAGGTCATGGGGCTGAAGGACTGAGCTGGTTGCTTGTGGAATCCGGTTGTTTGTCTACCCTCAGATTAAAATAATTTTGGTTATTAAAGACAGTGAGATGGAGAGAGAGAGGCAGTACTGATCCAGCTAGGGTGGAAAGTGGGTTTTCTCATGTCATTGTAAGTTTTTTTGCCATCAGTGATTGCCCTGCAGTGCTTTGGTATGCAACATCCTACACTACATTCACCCTTCCTAAATTACTTCATGGCCCTTGCTATGATCCTCAGGGTAGCCCTCATTTGGGAGAATACAGAGCTGACAACCCCTGCACAGTGAATCCTGGGTTTCTCACTCCCAGAGGTGTCTTCTCCTCAATCTCCTTCTCTCTCCAAAAATTCCTGGCAAACCATAGCTAATCATGTGAAAACACCAATGCTCTAACTCCAGTTGTTTAATATACCAAGTCAGCTCAATCTGGGCTTAGTTTAGGCTGTTAGATTTTATTTTTGGAAGTTAATATATGCAAACTTCTTCCTTCCAAAATGGAAAAGCATTGGGTGTTTCAAAGGTCTTGCATCCTGCTTCAAATGTGGGAGGAGATGAAACAGGAATGTGGCCTTTGCAGCTTCCCTGGGATGTGCAGTGAAGGGGCAGGAAGTTTATCTCCCTCTCACCACCAAGCAATGAATATTTTCAATTGCTGCTTTAATTAAAAAATGTTGGGCCTTACAGTAAAGGTCTGCCAGCCCCTGCTGCCACTGTTCACCAGGGATTAGGGAGATCAAGCCTTAGAGCCTTCAAATGTTTGACTTACTAAAATCTGCCCCTCTTCCTCAGTGCTCTCCTGTCCCTTACCCATGATGATACATTTCTTCTAAAAGCCATCCAGTACTGTCCCAAAACACACGTGGTGCGGAGTCCACTTAGACAACCTCAGCTGCAACTGGAGCATGAGTGGGCAGGCTCTCTGCTTTAACACATGGGATGTTTCAGACTCCTGTAAATTCACTTAATCTCAGTTTAAACACTTTTGCTTTCGGAAAATGTTGGGTCCAAAGAGCAGAGGATTAGATAAGAAAAATACTAAAGGAGACTTAACACATCATATGAAAATGCTAAGATGCTAAAGCAATTCCAAATATGTATTTAATATATAAATAATTAAGTAACTCATAGCAGTCTCAAAGCACTGAATATGAGAAATGATGTGGATGTGATGACCAGAGCAAGACTTTGTTTCAATTCCCAAACACAAGACTCAAAATATTGGGAAAGTCATCCCCACTCAACATGTTGCTAATTGCCTAAAAGCAACAACTGTAATGACTGAAAATTTGTTGTAAGAAATTACTTCCTTGTGTAAAGCATGAGCTGAAAATATCTTTATTCAGCATTGGATGAGTTTCCACACCTCTTCCCACACCGGAGAGAACCCAATGGGACCAGGTGCTGAGGAGCATCCCTGCATGTGGCAGGGCTAACATGGGTTCCCTGCTGCTCTCAGGAGCTCCAGGCCCAGTCCACAGATCCAGTAGCAGCAAGTCTAGAAGGAAAACCAATTATTAATTCCACTTTTTTTGCTGTTTCACCTTTCATAGCAGAGCAGGGCCTCGGGAGGAAGGTGCTATTCCTGGGAGCATAAGCAAAATTCCTCAACCCTGTTGTGAACTGCTGTCAGAAGAATAGCTGAACACTTGAAAATGTCAAGACCTCAGAGACTTGAAATAAGGATCTGAATTGTTAGATCCTTTCAACAGTTTAGGAAAAAAAAACCAAAAAGCTTCTGATTTTATTTTAACTGCTATTTACTAGGGTTAAAGTTAAAACAGCAACAGACTAATAAACCAGTAGAAGGAGGGTTAAGGAAGGGTTTAAATTTCTTTCTGACTTGGGGAGGTGTGGTGTGGTGGGGTTTCTTTAGCCACAGAAAGGCTCCAGTGATGCTGGGGTTGCTCAGGCTGAGGGCGTGGGAGGTGCAGCTCTGCCCCTGTACTGCCCCTGCCCTGCCCCACGTGTGGAGCTGTGCCCAGCTGTGCCCAGCTGTGCCCAGCCCAGCAGGATGTGCCTGTGGAGCAGGGCCGGAGGAGCCGTGGGGATGTGTGGGGGCCTGGAGCACCTGTCCCCTGGCCCGGCTGGGAGAGCCGGGGCTGTCCAGCGTGGGGAGGAGCAGGGAGCGGGGAGGCCTCACTGCGGCCTTGCGGTGCCCAAAGGGGGCAGAGAGCCATGGGGAAGGGGAAGGGTTTTAGACGAGAAGGGGAGATTGGGATCGGGTGTTCGGGAGAGCTGAGGGGGCAGTGAGACATTGGAAGGGACTGCCCAGAGAAGCTGTGGATGCCCTGTCCATGGGCCGCTCCAGGCCGGGCTGGGCCGGGCCCTGAGCGGCCTGACCTGGGGGGCGGCAGCAGCAGCAGGGGATGGCTGAGGTGCTGTCGCTGTCGAGGTAGGATGGGAATGAAGAGACTCTGACCAGAAGGCTGCTGAGAGTAAAACTCCAGTTTCTTCAAAATACACTGCTCTTTTATACAGAGCTTTGTGAGGACCAACTCCATTGGTCCTGAAGTGAAAACAAGCTACACCATTGCTGCAAAGCGCTTGACGCACAGTGCTAGAACTTAACTATAAACAATGTGAAAAACAAGAGAGATAAAGAATTATTTACATTCTTCTCCAGCTCTTTCCCAGGCTTCTGCCTGGCTAGAATCTCTCGTTTCTCTCTTTGACTGAATCTGAGACCCACAAGGTGCCTCCATGGCGTTCTGGAACTCCATGGGTGAGCACAGCAGCCATCAGTTACCTGGGCATGGAATGTTGCCACCGGTTGCCAGGGGCACTCCTGGTTCCAAGGTTCTGTTGGCACGGAGTCTGTTGAGCCAGTTGAGGGATTCTCTGCTGCGCAGCAGACGCGGAGCATCCTTCTTCTCCATCCCGCAAGGGAATAAAGAGCGATTTGGTAACTTTTGCAGGCCAAACTCTGGACTGACCGTACAGGTGAGTGCAGACGATTCTTGGAAAGGCTTCTGATGCTGAGGGGCTGGGCTGGGCTGCAGGATGGGCTGCAGGTGGGCTCAAGTACCAGAGTCATGGACTTTGCCTCTAGCTTTGGACAGGAACTGGAGACTTGGGAATGGGAGTCTTAGGGCATGGGAGTGTTCAAGAAAACTGGCAATCCAAATGGATAATCTCGCCTCTGCTTTTCTAATAGGTTTGGTGATCAATTTTCTGTCACGCTGAAAAATCTGCAGTGGGCTGCCTAAAGGATTGATCACATCCCTGACATTCCTTTTTTGGAGTTTGTCCCACTTATTTGGTGGTTGCTTTTGATCACAAAACACCATGAGCTCAGTAAGTACTTTGCAAATCTGATTCTTGAAACATTTTCCAGGGTAGGTCTAGAAAGCATTTCAAGAGATTGTAGCAAATGCAGAGGAACAGAAACCTTTAAAAACTTCATGTAACTTGGTGTTCTGGAATTGGGAAGGTTTTGTATTTCTGGGTGTTAGCAGTAATGCAGAAATGCTTACAGTGTGAGCAGCAACCTGCTGGAATTGGGAACTGGTCTCCTCATTTTCAAGCCATTGGGACAGGCTCTTTCTCGGGGAGGTGGCTTATTGGAGATCAGGGGTGCTGTCTTTTCCCTGGTGTAATGTGCTCGGGTGGGAATGGCCCATAGCAGCATTTGGTGTGTATTCCAGCCTTTGCAGGAGTGTCTTCTGTATCCTTGTGTGCTGTCATTGGTGTTGCAAAACCCAAGGGCCATGTTAATATTCGTGGCAGAGAAAATGCTAAGGCTTTGTTCCCTGTCAGCGTCAGCGAAAGCGCCCTGGAGGAGCAGTTGATTCCAGACCAGCTCGGAAACGGAGCCGGCTGCTGCCCTCCAGCGCAGGTGGAACTTCTCAGACAGAGCCAACAGACCTTGAGGAAAGGGGCACACCTGCTTTTGAGCCTGGTAAGAACAGAAGCGTCTTCTGGAGGGTTGAAGACCATCTGGCCATGTGCTTTTGCCAGTTTCTAGGCCCTTTACTGGGGAGGAAGGGAAGGGAAACCTTGGGATTAAGGAGGCATCCCTAAACAGCAAGCCTTCTGACAACAGTTTTGGTTTGTTACTGAGATCATCATTGCTGCTGCTTGGTATTGCTGCTCTTATTGGCTGCAAGTGGGAGATGAGCTGTGTAGGAAAGGTCCTCCCGTGCTGCTCAAACACCTGAACGTGTGTTCTGATGAGCTGGCAGTCACTGCAGCTGCCACAGTGGAGGGTGGCAGGCTGAGTTTGAGATGTCCCAAGCTGTATGAAGATAAGGAAACTGTCATTAGCTGTGGCCCATCCTTCAGGGGAATATGTACAGCATGATACTTTAAAATTAGGATCCCCTCTATGATTACAGTTTTGATGGGACTTTTTTTCCACTCTGTGTTAAGCATTCCCCTCTATGAAATGAATCATCTGTTGATGTGAACCTCCTGTAATCTGTTGTCATCCAATAGAACTTGTGAGGAGCTCAGCTGCTCTTCTGCTTGTTTTGCCCCTTCAGAGGGCAGGGCCAGCTGTGCTCCCTGTGCACTGTTGAGGGCAAAGCTTGAGTGAAATTTTGGACATATTCCTGAAAAAAAAAGACCTAAAGCACAGTTAATCCAACCTCAGCATGTTCCACACTGGCAGCCCATTTCACTCCTTTGCAATCTCTGATCTGACTCTAATGTTCTCATTTTCATTTGGTGAAGACGTCATAGATCTCACAGGTGAAGACACCATAGATCTCACAGGTGAAGACGAAAATGCCATAGATGTCGCAGGGGAAGAAGTCATACAGCTCAGATATGAAGGTGTCATACATCTCCCAGGTGAATCTTCAGAGCCTGAAGTCATCACTATCAGTGACGATGAGTCTTCTATGGTAAGTAGTGAATGGCACACTCCTCTCCATCTTGCATTCAGATTAGTTTCTCTTGAGCTCCTGGGCCTGTCTTCTGGCATCTTACTATCTCTTTGAGTATCACTTGCAGGGAGTGTAAGAATAATCTAAAAGAGCTTGTTGCTTCAGTAATTTAAAGAAAAAGCAAGGGAGAGGACAGGAAGTATTTGACTTCCCAAATAAGAAGTGTTTTTGCTGCAACATCAGTTTAAGGTGCTCTTGTCACTGAGGTGCCAAGTGCAACTGCAGCTGACTGGGGTAGAAACTAGGTGTATTTTTATTACTCCAAGAAGTCTTTAAAAATGTCACTTTTTTTTCTTTCAATTTCCCCTGCTGTTTGAAAGAATAACGCTTGATCCAGACTGTGTAGTTTATTCCATCAATTTTGGGGTGTTGCTGCTGCCGTGCAAAGCAGAATATGCAGCAGGCATAACATAAAGGGTACCTCCTGACAGCATTATTCCTGAGCCTTTGCAAAGGAAAGGCCTCAAACTTTTCAACAGAGCCTGCATGACCCAGCTCCAGAGCTCCAGTTCCCAGAGATGGTTTGGGTTTGGGGTTCTTTCATTAGCAACTGTTAATCTAACACAAAATATCTTTGGCTAACACAGCGCATTTGCCAGTTTGGGGGTAAGAGAGGGAAAGAAACAGCTCCAGGCCTAAATGCAATTAGGAAACTGAAATGGGGAAGCAGGAAGTACAGTGTTCAGTTGTTTCTAAGGGCATCTATGTCTACCCCATTGCAGGACAGGGAGCAGAGCCAGCAGCAGCTGAATCTTTCCAGAACATCAGATGAGCCACTGGCAAGGGGAGATGAAGAAGAACCAAGAGACATTGATGATCAGTATGTTACAGATTAATTGACTCTCTAAAATCTAATTTCTGATACATAGCAGGAGATTTTGCCAAGCTTTTGGGTTCTGCTTGATTCTGTGCCAAAACTTCAGAATTGGAATAGAGCGGCCTGATGGAAAGAGAAACAATTTTTAAAAAAACCAAGAAAACAAACCAAAAAAATCCAGTAGAGACCATTCTTCTCTGTGCATGAAGCCATTACATAATGTTTCTTCAGTATGGCTTGAAATGCTTGCAATATGTAAAAGCTCTGGGAATGATTGTATTGTTGGGCTGAGATATTGCTAAATCAAAATAGGGGATGTTTTACGTACCAACATTTTCTTCAGTGGCAACCCTTGGTGCCCAGGAAATAAATGGCTCCATGTTTAAATGGCTGCATGTTCTTCTAGTTCTGCTCTCTCTAGGGATTGGCTACTATTTGATTTCGATCCTCCATATTGGTCAGATGAGGACTCAGAGGTGAGGATCCACATGTTCTTGTCCTTTATGGTTTGTGGGAGGGAAAGGGACAAAAGAGGAGCTGCACAACTCAGTAGTTTTAGGTGGGTGCCACATGCAGCTGGCCGGAGGCACAGCCCTTGCTGGGAAGCTCCAGCTTGCCCATCCCTCCAAGTCCTTTCTTGATGGTGTCCGTAGTGGGAGAAACCCTTGCCAGGATGGCACTGGCAGATCTGTGTGTTCCTTATAGTTCTATAACATTGAGTGACTGCACATAGTCCAAGTCCAGTTTGCCTGGTGCCAACAGAGCAGCAAACTGGAATTCTTTCCTTCCAATGCCTGTTGTGGTTTCCTTTCTTCAGCAGTGGCTCACCTTATATTGAGTGTTTATGGATATCACATTTGAATTTTCCCTTTTGAGGGAGAAAGAGAGAAAGAAACAGTTCTAGGCCCAAATCCAGTTAGGGACCTGAAACAGAGGAGGAAGGTGTTCAGGTGGTTCCTAATCTGTCTCCATTCTACCCCATTGCAGGACAGGGAGCAGAACCAGCAGTACCCACATGTTTCCAGTGCAGCAGGGAATTCAGCTGATGTACTGGCAAGCAATGATGAAGAGGAACCAAGAGATGTTGAAGGGTATGCATGAGAGAAAGTGTCTCTCTAAACTCTAATTTCTGATATATGGTAAAACTGATTTTTTTTACCAAGCCTTTGGGTTCTGCTTGATTCTGTGCCAAAACTTCAGAATTGGAATAGAGTGGCCTGATGGAAAGAGAAACAATTTTTAAAAAAACCAAGAAAACAAACCAAAAAAATCCAGTAGAGACCATTCTTCTCTGTGCATGAAGCCATTACATAATGTTTCTTCAGTATGGCTTGAAATGCTTGCAATATGTAAAAGCTCTGGGAATGATTGTATTGTTGGGCTGAGATATTGCTAAATCAAAATAGGGGATGTTTTACGTACCAACATTTTCTTCAGTGGCAACCCTTGGTGCCCAGGAAATAAATGGCTCCATGTTTAAATGGCTGCATGTTCTTCTAGTTCTGCTCTCTCTAGGGATTGGCTACTATTTGATTTCGATCCTCCATATTGGTCAGATGAGGACTCAGAGGTGAGGATCCACATGTTCTTGTCCTTTATGGTTTGTGGGAGGGAAAGGGACAAAAGAGGAGCTGCACAACTCAGTAGTTTTAGGTGGGTGCCACATGCAGCTGGCCGGAGGCACAGCCCTTGCTGGGAAGCTCCAGCTTGCCCATCCCTCCAAGTCCTTTCTTGATGGTGTCCGTAGTGGGAGAAACCCTTGCCAGGATGGCACTGGCAGATCTGTGTGTTCCTTATAGTTTTATATAGCATTGAGTGACAGACTGCACTTAGTCCAAGTCCAGTTTGCCTGGTGCCAACAGAGCAGCAAACTGGAATTCTTTCCTTCCAATGCCTGTTGTGGTTTCCTTTCTTCAGCAGTGGCTCACCTTATATTGAGTGTTTATGGATATCACATTTGAATTTTCCCTTTTGAGGGAGAAAGAGAGAAAGAAACAGCTCTAGGCCCAAATCCAGTTAGGGACCTGAAACAGAGGAGGAAGGTGTTCAGGTGGTTCCTAATCTGTCTCCATTCTACCCCATTGCAGGACAGGGAGCAGAACCAGCAGTACCCACATGTTTCCAGTGCAGCAGGGAATTCAGCTGATGTACTGGCAAGCAATGATGAAGAGGAACCAAGAGATGTTGAAGGGTATGCATGAGAGAAAGTGTCTCTCTAAACTCTAATTTCTGATATATGGTAAAACTGATTTTTTTTACCAAGCCTTTGGGTTCTGCTTGATTCTGTGCCAAAACTTCAGAATTGGAATAGAGCGGCCTGATGGAAAGAGAAACAATTTTTAAAAAAACCAAGAAAACAAACCAAAAAAATCCTGTAGAGACCATTCTTCTCTGTGCATGAAGCCATTACATAATGTTTCTTCAGTATGGCTTGAAATGCTTGCAATATGTAAAAGCTCTGGGAATGATTGTATTGTTGGGCTGAGATATTGCTAAATCAAAATAGGGGATGTTTTACGTACCAACATTTTCTTCAGTGGCAACCCTTGGTGCCCAGGAAATAAATGGCTCCATGTTTAAATGGCTGCATGTTCTTCTAGTTCTGCTCTCTCTAGGGATTGGCTACTATTTGATTTCGATCCTCCATATTGGTCAGATGAGGACTCAGAGGTGAGGATCCACATGTTCTTGTCCTTTATGGTTTGTGGGAGGGAAAGGGACAAAAGAGGAGCTGCACAACTCAGTAGTTTTAGGTGGGTGCCACATGCAGCTGGCCGGAGGCACAGCCCTTGCTGGGAAGCTCCAGCTTGCCCATCCCTCCAAGTCCTTTCTTGATGGTGTCCGTAGTGGGAGAAACCCTTGCCAGGATGGCACTGGCAGATCTGTGTGTTCCTTATAGTTTTATATAGCATTGAGTGACAGACTGCACTTAGTCCAAGTCCAGTTTGCCTGGTGCCAACAGAGCAGCAAACTGGAATTCTTTACTTCCAATGGCTGTTGCAGTTTCCTTTCTTCAGCAGTGGTTCAGCTTATACTGAGTGTTTATGGATATCACATTTTAATTTTCCCATTTGAGGGAGAAAGGGTAAGAAACAGCTCCAGATCAAATCCAAATAGGGAACAGGAACAGGGGAGGAGGGCGTTCAGGGGGTTCCTAAGCTGCCTCAGTTTGTCCCCTGCTGCAGCAATGAGAGCAGAATCAGCAGCACCCACTTCTTTGCTTTTCGGGGCAGCGGCTCTTTGTGCTACTGCTTTGATGCTCTTAGGCAAACTTAGAGGGTGACAGCCTAGCCTTGCTCCCCTCCTCTGCTGTAACTGCTTTCTGAGCTGGGGTTTGTGTGCAGCACCAGGGGGCTCACCAAATCTAATTGTATCTTCTTTTCTCTCCCTTCCCATGTGCATCGATGGAAGCTTCTTGAAGGTGAGTTGATGTTTTACGGTTGATAATGGAATTGTCTTAAACGTAACTGTTATTTTTGGGGTTCTTTTTTTTGTTCATTTGTTTGCTTTTGTTTTGTTTTCAAGAAACTCAAGAAGCAGGGATTGAAACTGCCTTTAGCAAGAAACAAAGAACTGTGATTTAATAGACCAAGTGTGTTGGTTTGTAGTAGAATAGTCACAATGTCTGGAAGGGTTCAGCCTTACTATTTGGGAAAGTAGTTTTTTTAGGATTGTTTTTAACCCAGCTGAACAGAGTCCATTTAAAATAGGAACCATTGCTGACTATTTATATAACTTGTTTCAAAGGTAGCTCCGGGGAGAGAGAGAATAATAGATCTAACTTCTGAAAATTAAATTACAGTGCATGGACAGGAAAGGAGAAATGTTACATCAAACAGCCAGGAACAGGTGGATGGCCCTGGTAATGGAACAGGAGCTAATGATGCACCTGTGGCTGACTCAGCCCCTGAAGAACAGGGAGCAGAGGAGGAGGACACTCAAAATCCAGAGTATGTATGCCTCATGCCCCACCACACACAGAATTCTGTGCCTTTCTTTCTTTTCTGTGTAGGACTTAGTAATAGTGCTATGCCTGATTTATCTTTGACGCCTTCCCTACTCTACTCATTTCCCTCCTTCTCCCATGTTGCAGGATGATCACATGATACCATTTGAATTTTGGGAGAAAAAAGCAGCCCAAAGCAGATGTGCATCTTTGCACAGAGCCTTAGAGACGAGTGTGGGAGTATGGCAAGGAATGGGGATTGGTCACAGGCTATAGCTCAGTATTGCATTTGCTTTTTCTGACAAGCTGTAGTCGTGATGTTAGATATGGAAATGCTTCCATTGTAATTACTGGGGCTTGGCATCACGGGGCCAGCAGGCAGCAGCTGGGCAAATTCCAGCAAAAATTCCCTGCTGGAATGGTGCCAGCTGGTTGCCTTTCTCCTGGAGCTGGAGCCCTTCTTCCCAAGGTAGACTTGCACACAGGCAGTTGTGGAGGTCATGCTTTTATGGCCAGTGCTGGATGTCACAGGCCCTGATTTGCTTGCTTTTGTGATGGAAATCTTGCAGTTCAAGTTGGGTGCCTGCACAGTAAAATTCCCATTCTGCAGAGGAACAGGAAAGTCCTGCTGTAGGGGCACTCCATCAGGATAAGAAAGATACAGTTCATTAGACTGATTCAATTTAACCAAGTGTCCTTGTCACTAGGGAAGACAAAGAACATTGGAATTATGGTATAAGGTTTTCAAAGTGGTGTTTTTGGGGTTGGGGGAAAGACACAGGTTTTAATAAAGCTGGTGTGCTTTGAGCCTTTTGCAAAGGCAATGTAGGAGACAACTTGACTGTGAAACTTTTAGGTGTCAGGTCTTAAATATGCCACCTAAAGGGCTTCTACGATTCTAAACCTTAATTGGGCATTTTGCCAATGAATTTGTAGATGCTTAAGTTTTGGTTGTTAAGTCTGTAGGTGAACAAATCCCAGCCCCTGGGTAATATAAAACAGGAATACTTTGTTCCTCCAGTCTCAAGCTTTTCGGTTACTGAATGTAACTGCTCTGTTTAGTTAAGGCTGAAATAGCTCAGTGCTGCAGCATTTAAAATTGACCAAAGGCTCCTTCCCAGGGCTGGATCTTGCCAGAGCTGTATTACTCTGTAGTTTAAAACTGGGTCCTGGAATGAATATTGTGGGGTGAATAATTCCCAGAGGACAGCTGATGCTGTAGTTACAAAGCTCTTACTGATGACCTGCTGGAAGTCAAGGTTGCCATACACAAACTGGCCAGTGCTAGAGGCTGCTGCTACTTCAAAGCCCAGAGCAAGGTGACTGACTGCACCTTTCTCCTAGTGAAAACCAGGACACCCTTTCCCTCAGGGCAGGGAGACCCCAAATCCTCACTAAGTGCAGCAAACAGAGACTTAAAGACAGCAGGGTTCTTCAAAGGAAATGTGTCATGGCTAGTCAGTGCAGTTGTATGAATATGTGAGATTTTATGTATCAATAGCCACCGAAGTGTGGTTATACTAACAGCTGCATGTTCTTTCTAGTTCTCCTTCCTCCAGTGCACAGCAAGGAGTTGTTATTAGGTGTCCAATTTGCATGGAATTTTACTCAGAGGTAAGGATCCACCTGTTGTTGTCCTGTCTGCTTTGTGGGAGGAGAAAGCCAGAAGGGGGGAGCTGCACAAGTCAGTTGGATGATGTGGGATGCTGTGGGCAGCTGGCTGGAAGCACAGCCCTTGCTGTGAAGCTCCACAAGTCACTTCTTGGTGAATGCAGAGGCAGAAGCCCTTGCCAAGATGGCACTGGCAGATCTGTGGGTCCCTCGTAATTCTAATTCTAGATGCTCAAAATAGAGCCTGGTGCCAGCTGAGCAGCAAAATCAAATTCTCTCCTCCCAATAAATGTTGTCGTTTTCTTTCTTCCAGTTTATTCAACGTGGACGACAGCTTGTGGCAACCCAATGTGGCCATGTCTTCTGCAGTAGATGCCTCCCTATTGCTCTTGAGGCTTCTTACATGTGCCCAAGCTGCAGAATGGCACTCACACCAGAACGATACCATACCATTTATTTATGAGTGCTAGATGGATCTTGGCCAATAGGCAGCGTAGAAACTTGTTTATGTATATAGTTCTTCCTCTATATAGTTTCATTTTTGCTGAATTCAATTTAAGTAAAGTTTTGATTGATTTAAATATAGTCTGTCTGCTCTTCTGTCTGCACTGTGCTGGTAGAGATGTTGTTTAACCGGTAGAAATAAGGCTCTTTGTTGGAGCAGTAAGGAGCTCGTTCATCTCCCCGTAGTCATTGACTTGGGGGCAATGTGCTAAAGCCATAATCTTTGCAGTTCTTATGGTCAGTGTGTGTTGTAGAGGGAAAAAGAAACAGGCCTTCCTTTTGGGGCAAGGCCTTGTATTTCTCAAGCCAGATTCTGGTGAATGTTTTGGTGAAAATGTCATGATTTTGGTGCTCTGAATATTGGAAGAACAGCAGGTTGTCCACAGTTTGCGAAGAAAACAGTTTCCTTTGAGAAACTTGTAGGTATCCAGACAGCTTGTTTATGGTCCAAGCTGCTCCATTATGTTGTGGTTAAAGCATTGCATTTATGACTACCAGCTGATGACAGGAGCGCTGCCAGCTTCCCTGAAGCTCTTCACCCTTCTAAAAAGCCTGTAAGCTTAAGGGCAATCACAATAATAGAGATGTGTAGACTGCTGTGTTCAACACTTAGCCTGCAAAACAGAAGACAGAAGTAAGTAGTCAGGTAAAGAAACAAAACAACAATGAGCATCACCATCATTTATCATCATCACCATCACCATTTACATTTCCCACTGCAAAAGCAAATTGTGTCCAGAGAGGATGGAGAGCTAGTATCAGCTCTTAGACTCAGGGTGCTGTCATGGGCTGGCAGCAAGTGGCCCCATCCATCACAGGGAGTTACATGGGATGTGGCCAGTGGCTGCCAATGGCATGTACCTGTCCATGTATTTGGGAGAATACTTGCGCTGAAGGCACGAGCCTTTAACCACCTGCAGGGCTAAGCGAGACCTGCACTTCTCAAGCTCTGGTTTCAGTGCTGGTGAACACTTCCATCTGCCAGCTGGCCATGGTACTTCACAGCTCAAGGGCTGCTGAAATATCCCTGCCTGCACGGGAGCCCTGCACAAGGGCTTGTCATGCATTTCCCCTTGAAGAATTCTGTTTCATCAGTGGAGATTTCACTTCCTGGGGATGGAAAGCCCAAGGAAAAACAAACCATCATGGACTTTGCCACCTACCCACCACCACTGCATGTGGTGAGCCCAGGGTTCATTTAAAGGCATTTGCAATCAGAATGCCAAATTTCTTGCTGCTTGAGGAGAAAGAAAGAAAGAAAGAAAGAAAGAAAGAAAGAAAGAAAGAAAGAAAGAAAGAAAGAAAGAAAGAAAGAAAGAAAGAAAGAAAAAAGAAAGAAAGAATGAAAGAAAGAAAGAAAGAAAAAGAAGAAAGAAAGAAAGAAAGAAAGAAAGAAAGAAAAAAGAAAGAAAGAAGAAAGAAAGAAAGAAAGAAAAAGAAAGAAAGAAAGAAAGAAAAAGAAAGAAAGAAAGAAAAAAGAAAGAAAGAAGAAAGAAAGAAAGAAAGAAAAAAGAAAGAAAGAAAGAAAGAAAGAAAGAAAGAAAGAAGAAAGAAAGAAAGAAAAAAGAAAGAAAGAAAGAAAGAAAGAAAGAAAGAAAGAAAGAAAGAAAGAAAGAAAGAAAGAAAGAAAAAGATGGTGATTTTGTTACACTGATATTTCTAGTCTCTCTGGATTAAAAGATTAAAGTTTGCTGCAAGTTGTCCAGTACAAAAATCACTGCTTCCTTTTGTAAAGCAACTTTTTATCAGGTATTTTTAGGACAGGAATTCTGTAGTTCTCTATTGCAGTTTATGGATTTCATAGGTTGTATATTTGGGAAGCTGTGCTTTTACTTCTTCCAGCAGATCCAAACCACTGCTTTGATTTGCTTGCTTGTTTTACAGTTGCTCCAGAAGTTTTCAGTATTTCTCTAGCAATTTGCTATGTTGTGCTGGAAGTTGCAAATCATCTTAGTTAAAAGCAGACCAGTTTGGATTAACATGGGAGATGAAAGCAAATGGCAAGCAAAAGAGTGGCTGATGAGGCATTGGTGCTCTGAGGTGGCCAGAGACCATTTTGGAGGCTGATATAACAAGTTTGCCTGCTAAATATTTCTGGTAAGGCACCTGCTGTCACATAGCTTTAGGTAAGCCACAAAACCATGGAGAGCTGAACAATTAAAAAGTTAAATTTAAATATAAACAAAAAAATAAAACAGGATGAGTTACCATTATCCCAATATTAACTTCTAAAAAGATGATTGGCCCTTGCAACTTCCCTTGGTTTCTGTTTCACTGAAGGACTTCAGGCCTGAAATGTGTTTTCCTGGGCATGAAACCTACAGGGCAAAACAGGAGTGAGCCCTGGATGGCTGCTGTCCCTGTCCCCAGCACAGGAATGTGCCATGCCTTGGCTACGTGAAGCTCTTTCACCCTTGTTTTTCCCCCTTGGTAACGTGGGAATAATGTCACTCATTTTCTCTTGGAAAACACAGGCTCTAAGTATTCATGTGCTCCATTGGAAAGAGATGTCTAAAAGTTGTGAGATTTTTTGATCCATAATAATTAGGGTTTCTTCTTCCCTGAACACCACCTTGAATATCTAAAATTCATTCTCCAGTACTTATGGTCATTAACTTTTCCTTATTTTGCTCTACCAGGTATGTTGTTTATGCTCTACACTAATTTCTGTTGCTTCCAACACACAGGGGCAAAATAACTAATTTAATATGTCAGACACAGCTATGGAAAATAAAAACTGTGTGTGCCTAATGACTGAGGCTCAGCTCAGGTTAGTGCATTGTCTTTGCACTGCAGCTGAACCCTAATGATTCTGTTCCTTAAACTGGCACACTAAACCAGCACGTTAGGTGTCCTCATTTAATGAGGAGGGAAATAAAAAAAAGTCTGGAATATTTTCAACCAAACATTTCTGGATCTACCTCCGTTCTGCAATCCATGGCAAGGCTCAGAAAACTGCAGTTTTTTCAGAGAAGTTTTTTTTTTCCAAATGCAAGAAAACAAGGCTCATTCTCTCCTCTTCTGACCCACACCTCTGCCAGCTACAATATTATCAGATCACCTGGTGCAGTTCAGGAAAATAGAGGGTGACGTGCTTTAATTTTATTCTTCCAGAGGATGCACAGGTACATAAATTCACACCTGCTTCCCCAGGGATGCAGGAGCCCCACTGACATTTTCAGTGTCAGGATTCATCCTCTTCCTTATATTTTGTATTTTATTTAAGACCTGTGTGGAGGTAAAAAACTGAGTGTGTGCACTACCACAACTGACCCAGCCCTGCTGTGTTGAAGAGGGCAGTTTTTAACAAAGCTTTGTGGAGAAAAGCAGGGATGTGTTTTCCAGGCTACAGATGGTGCAGGGATGATTCCTGTGCAAATTCCTCCTAGGAATATGTGGTGCACACCCCACCAAGAGGACAATCCCCAAAGAGCTCATTCCATCACTGATTGGTAGACACAGGGAAAAAAAGCTTTGAAAGCCCAGAAAGCAGAGATGCAGCATATTGGCACTCTTCATTTGTCAAAATGAAGAGCCTTACCTTTGCTCCAAGACACTGCATGACAGAGCAGACTGACCCCTTCCTACCTGCCCAGCTTCTGTTTGTGTTCATTCCACATTTTTCCATCCAGGCATGAGAATTCCATCACCTTCACTCTGTCGTGGTCTTTGCATGCTACAGCTTCAGGCCAGCAAAGTTCTAAACAGCTAAAATGCTGTTTAAAAGAAGTCTAAAAATTATGAGCTGGGAGGAACTGTTTGAAAGGGCAAACATCACTCCAGATTCTATCTGGAGGTTTTGAGGCTGGGCACTGGGAACAGGGATTTGGGCACCAATCTTGATCACAGCCTAAAATGGAGTTTTGAACAGTATGTTTTTAGGTACAGAGTTCAGTGCTGGCTGTGTGGAGGGAACCAGGTGGTACCCAGCACAAAGGGCTCTTGTCAGCATGCAGACAGCTTCACGGCTGTGTGAGGGCAGCAGACACAGCCTGGAGAGAGGCAGCTGTTTTCCCCCTTGTAACAACGTGTTTTTTTTAGAAAAGGCAAATGCAGACTGCCTGAGGGAGCAGATGAAAGCAACCCCAGCATCACTGGAGCCTTTCTGTGGCTAAAGATACCCCACCACACCACACCTTCCCGAGTCAGAAAGAAATTTAAACCCTTCCTTAACCCTCCTTCTACTGGTTTATTAGTCCGTGGGGAATGCCGGTGGTATGTTTGATGCCCCATTGCTGTAGGAAGTCCTCGAACTGTTTTGAGGTGAGTCCCGGTCCGTTGTCTGTTTTTATAGCTTTCGGGACTCCCAGTGTGGCGAATGCCATATATAGATGTTTCTTGGCATCTTTCGTCTTCTCCCCGGTATGGAGAGAGGCGAAGATTGTCTATAGAGACATGTATGTATTTGAGGCGGCCGAAGGGGTTGTAATGGGTGACATCCATCTGCCACAACTCCAGTGCTCCCAGTCCCCAGAGATTGATCCCTGATGCCACTGGTGGAAGGGCAAGGGACTGACAGCTGGGGCAAGTGGCGAGGATTGCCTTGGCCTGCTCTTTTGAAATCTTGAACTGCCTTGCAAGGGCAGGAGCGTTCTGGTGGAAGAACATGTGGCTGAGCTTTGCCTGTGCAAAGATGTCAGGAGTAGTGTTTGAAAGTGTATGTGTGAGAAAGGTCGTGGCAACAGTGGCCATAGCTAAATGGTCTGCCATCTGGTTGCCCCCAGTGATAGCTCCTGGCAGGTCTGTGTGAGCCCGGACGTGCATTATGTGATAGGATTGCTCTCGGTGGGAGATTAGCCAAATTAATTCCGTGAGCAACCCGTGTGGTAGATAGGGACAGGCGGAGCAGAAGACCACGGGATGTGATGGAAAGAGAGAGACCCTTCCCCCTCTCCCTGCCCCATGCTATCCATTAACCCCAGGAGCATGTGACCACACCTGCTTTGGTAACTTTCCACTCCCGACTAACCCCTGAGACCCCTCAACCCCCCTCTGACGTAGCAAAGACCCCCAAGACTATTTAAACCCACGAGATGAGATAATAAAGGCTTTCGATCGTCCACCAAATTGGTGCCAGCGTCTTTATCGATAGCCCGAGCGGTCTGGAGAGGCCAGACCGC